CCCAGCTACCACTGTCAACCACTCAGAATAGGATCAAAATAGGAGACCCTGGATAGAGTGGGAGAAAATGGGGAACAAAACTCAGAATCATAAAAAAGACCAGGCTACAAACTGGTGAAACCCAGAGACTATGGCCCCTAGCCACTCTTCAGGCCTGGAATTGAACTCCTTCCTGTGGCTTCAAGCCAAACAACAGACAGGCATATAAGGTGAACATTTATACTAGTTAGGTACACTCCTTAGAACAACCAACCATGGGACTACAGAAGGGCATTATTTGCACAGTGAGATAGCTCAGCAGGCAGGAAGGCGCAGGAAAGGAGGACACAGGGAAGAGGTAGCCTCAGGGAGGAAGTAGGAAGACAGCTGTAGTATTTTGGGGATTGCAGTCAACGCCATGAAACTAAATGTTTATGAACTGTTGAATGGAAAATGGATTTGCTCCGTAAACTTTCATCCAAATCAGAAAAGAAAAAAAAAAACCGAATGAGCAGACAAGAAGGAAGTACAATCTGTGGGATTATAAACTCATTCAGATTTGGGGTAGGTTGAGGGTGGGCCTTTTCCTCCAAAGTGAGAGGAAGCCTACTGTGAAGAGGACCTTTTTTCAGCAAATTAGTTTCAGGGATAGAACCTGCGACTATCCATAAACAGGCACCCCAGGCAAGTCTTCATGTACATTCAGGGGAACGCATACCCCCGTTTGAAAACAGCTATCTTAGACAATGACTTTATACCTTCTTTTCATAAACCTGTAATGCACACACCCTTCTCCTTTCCTTCCTCTCAGCTGATTACCAACTAAACTAAACCCACTGCTAATTCTGCCTCACAGCAAACCTGTAGGACAGTCCCATGGGGTTTCCAAGGCTGTAAATCTTTACAAAAGCAGACTGCCACATCTTTCCACTTTGAGTGGCTGGTGAGTCTGAACTGTCAATCTTCTGGTTGGCAGAGCTCAGTGCTTTAACCACTGTGCCACCAGAGCTCACTCAGTTGATTACTATTTTCCTACTGCACAAGAAAATAAAAGCAAGCAAGAGAACACTTCTTCAAGCCCTGCCCCTTCTACCAGCCACCTGCGCACAGGCCTGGCCTCCCCCTGCTGCTCTGGATAACAGGTCCTTGCTGGGATCCTTCTCAGACTGAAAGCCACTCCCCACCACCAGCTGCGGTTACAGCCCGTTTCTGCTTATCTTTCAAGTTTCTCACTCTAGAAATCTGCCCACCTCTTCTGCACCATCAGTTTTCACTCTCTTACTAGATTTTAAAATCAGTATATACGTGTGCTACTCTTTCTCCCATCCTAAAAAAAAGAGAAAAAAAATCCCTTCAGTCACATGGCACGCAAAAGCAATGGGTGTCCTTTGACTGAATCTTAGACTAGATGTTGAAATTGCAATCAAGAATGTCTGTGGAACATTTGGGGATGTTTGAATATGAACCATACATTATACTGTAGTTATATAGGAGAACATTCTTATACTTAGGAGATGCATGTTGAAGTATTTAGGATAAACTCTATGCCTACAACTTTAAATAGTTCAGAAAGATCAATGTATTTTTGTATTTAGAAGGCAAATGTGGCAAGATGTTAACAATTGGTTAAACTAGGTAAAGAGTAAACATTGGTCACCTAGTTCTGGAGACTTGGTATTTGTCAAAAACATAAAGCTGGGGGGAAAAGATTACTGTCACAAAAATACATCCTAGAAGGAATAAGCCAGTGGTTCTCAAACCAACTGATGGCCCTCTGTACACCTCATTTCCCCTTCCAGCCAACACTCTAGTTCCTTCCTTTCCTTGGCAAATTTCTCCAAAGAGCTGTCTGTTTTCTAATTTCTCTTCTCCCAACCATGTTTTCTTGAATCACTCCAATCCAGCTTACTGACATTGTTCTTATTAAGCTTATCAATGATCTCCACCTTGCTAAACCTAAAGGTCAAATCTCAGTTATTGCCTTCTTTGACTGCTAACCAGAAGGCTGGTGGTTCAAACCCACCAGCCACTCCTCGGAAGGAAGGTTGGGCAATCTACTTCCATAGTGATGATGTTGTTGTTGTTATGTGCCGTTGAGTCGGCCCCGACTCATAGCGACCCCTCCTTGGGTTTCCGAGGCAGTATCGCTATGGAAGTAAATTGCCTAACCTTCCTTCGGGGGAGTGGTTGGTGGGTTTGAACCGCCAGCCTTCTGGTTAGCAGTC